GCCCTGATTTAGCCCACTTTGCAGACACTGTTGGATTAATGGTTTACTTTCTACAGGAAAAGAAGCAGGTAGGTTAAATTTTGAACCATCAAAGGGTTTTCAATGACCCTGTCCCCCCAGGGCTGGGAGACCTGGAGGAGAGCCAGCAGGCCTCTCCCTCCCTCCCTCCCTCCCTCCCTCCCTTTATTATCCGGATCTGGCTCTGCCACATTATGGCCAGACTTCAGGCAATTTAGGACCTAAATCCAGACCCAGGAAGCCCCCAGGCCTCCCTGGCTTCGGAAGGGCTGGGTAGTGTGGCCAGCAGCAGTTACTATCCCAGTGTTTGCTGGCAGCAAACATAGGCAGAGCCCTGCCTGCCTCCGTGGCCTCATTCAGATTTTAAGATAACAGACGGAGTAGAAAAGACAAATTCAACTTCTTTGGATCCCCCATCTAATGTCTTTAGCAGTTCCTTCTTTTCTTTGGCTGGGGTGGGGGGTGGGGTGGGAATGAGCACAACAATATTGCCAGATTTCTTTCAAAGCTAGAAAGAAAAGAACCCGGGCCCCATAGTGCGATGGATTTGCTCTCAAAGAAGAAGATGGAGGCCCTCATTCGTTAACTTTCTTCCCCTGTAGGCTCCAGAGGCAAGTTAGGACAGGGATGTGTTGGGGTCTTCCATGTCCCTCTTCTCCCCAGCTCGCTGCAGAATGGAGTGCAGTGAGCCTGGATGTCTTTCTTTGATCTCTTTTTCCTCCTTCCTAAGATTTTTGAGACCTCGTTGCTCTAAATCAGGAATCTGCACAACTTTTCCTGCAAAGACCCAGATGATAAATATTTTAGGCTCCGTGGGCCACGTGGTCTCTGTTGCAACTACCAATTTTGCTGTCGTTCGGCAAAGGCAGCCACAGACCATATATAAATGAATGAGCATGGCCGTGTTCCCAAAAAAATGTTACGAACACCAAAATTTGAATTTCATATAATTTTAATGTGTCACAAAGATAGCAGGACAGATTTGGCCCACAGGCTACAGTTTGCCAACTCCTGCTTTAAAGTATCAGGGGTCACTCTGTCCCTCCCTTCTCTTTGAAGAGGACAGCTTCATCAGGGTCCATCAGGGGCTCAGAGGACGGAAAGGCTCTCTCTTATTGCTCTGGTTGTGTGCACTCTACTCCATCAGAAGTTATTTATGATAATTAGTCCCCATCACAATTGTGACTAGTTGGCCCATGGGTTATTTATTCTCCCTTTTTTTAAAAAAAAAATATGTTTTTTATTGATTTTAGAGAGAGAGGAAGGGAAAAGGAGAGAAAGAGAAACATCCGTTGATCAGCTGCCTCCTGCATGTCCCCCACCAGGGATCCAGCCTGCAACCTGGGCATGTGCCCAGACCAGGAATTGCACTGGTGGCCTCTCGGTGCATGAGACAATGCTCAACACACTGAGCCACCAGACTGGCCAGGGCTATTCTCTCTCTTTTTATTAGAATCATTGATCGGCTGCCTTCTGCACACCCTCACGGGAGACCGAGCCCGCAACCCAGGCATGCGCCCTTGACCGGAATCGAACCTGCGACTCATCAGCCCGCAGGCTGACACTCTACCCACTGACCCAAACCGGCTAGGGCTCTCTCTCTTTTTAAAGGGATGATGGTGGGTAACCATCACATAATGCCTATTCTGTTTCTGCTTCTGTGTTGGGCCTTCCTCTCTCCATCTCTCCATTTCTCTGTGCCCTACATTCTCTTTCTGCTTTTAGATAAAAAAACCAACAATAATAGTAGCATTTATTAAATACCTAAATATGGCCCAAGCACAATGTTAGTCACATTACATACATTATCAATCAAGTCCGCCAATGTTCTTACAATTTAGGTATTATCATTCCCATTTTACAGAGATTCTGAAGCTCAAGAACATTGCCCAGCCAGTGTGGCTCAATAGTTGACCGTCAACCCAGGCACCAAGAGGTCACAGGTTCCATTCCTGGTCAGGATACACGCCCTGGGTTGCAGGCTAGATCCTCAGCAGGCGGCATGCAGGAGGCAGCCAATTGATATTGATGTTTCCCTCTCATCGATATTTCTATCTCCCTCTCCCTTCCTCTCTCTCTCAAATCAATTACAAACAACATTAAGCCAGTTCCCAAGGTCATGTGGCTTTTGAAGGCATCAGAACCAGTGGATCTGCTGGACTTCAACTCCACTATAACCATGTAAACAAATGATGGTCTCAGAGTTTGGAATAACACATGTCTCTCTCTATTAAAACATTATACGCTCCCATCTCACCACCCAGAGTCACTGACGACTCGTGTAAGCGGGGGAGGTTGCACACTCAGAGGAGGAGACGCTGGTGGTCTGTGCTGGTGGGAAAACCATCCAATCCAGGAGCAGGAAGACAAGTGAAAGGACCTCTTAGAGCTCTGCTTGTCTTCCTCCCCTGTCCCCGTTTCCGTTTCCGGCTCCTGATCCCAGACCTATTTCAGCATCTCCGATCGCCCTGCTCAGCAGAAGCAATAATGTGACATGATGTGATCACATCCGGGAGCTAAATAAAGCCATTGTGTGAGGCCCAGCCCTGGCTGTTCCCTTGCATCATTTCCTGAGCCTGGGAGGCGAGGGGGCTGGGAGAGGGCCCATGGAAGAGGAGGGAAACCAGCACAGCCATGGGCACCCCAGCCAGAGTTTCAGAAAACGGAGGAGAAATATCTCTGGGAGGGGGTGGTGGACAGAATAAAATGACTGGCATTGGAGCGCGGACGGGTGGAATTTAGGAAACAGGAAAGACTCTGAGAAATGGAATGAAGATATGAAGGAGAAGGAGCTCAATGGATTCCATTTTCCCAGAGGGTGGAGACAATGACTGAAATGACAGGGATGCTGGAAAAGGGTAGTTCCTTCCGAAGAGGCCAGAATCCAGTTGTTCTGCGGTGGAAAAGGAAGGGTGAGCTCTCAGAATCAGATCTGTCCGCCCATCAGCCAGGGTGGCAGGGTACCATCTCTAGCAGGTGGCATCTCCAGGAAGAGGGAAAGGAAAAGGCTTCAGTTCACTGCATTTCATTGATCTTGCCAAATCCCGCCTTGCGGGCAGAACTGGAGCCAGGAGAGCAGACAGAGGCTGGGTACAGGGAGTGTACCCCAAGCAGTGTTTCCTCTTTCATGAGGTCACTGAATGCCAGACCAGGGTTCTCACAGAGCCCACTCAGTGCCCCTCAATTTCTGTCCTGTTCCCAGTCCGGTTCCTCTCTACCTAGTGAGCACTTCCTCCTCTCCACGCCTGCTTCTCACAATGCTTTATGCGACTCCCCACTGGCCGGTGGGGCTCAGTGATTGAGTGTGGACCCAGGAACCAAGAGGTTGCCGGTTCAATTCCCAGTCAGGGCACATGCCTGGGTTTCGGGCTCCATCCCCAGTGGGGGCTGTGCAGGAGGCAGCCGATCAATGACGTTTCTATCTCTCTATCTCTCTCCCTTCCCATCTCTCTAAAAGTCATTAAAAACAAAAACAAAACAAGGAGAGGATCTCCCGCGGTGGCTGCTAAGGGTGCCCTCTGCATTGCTTTCGGATGTTATGATCCTGGGCGGGCACAGGCCTTCTCTAGGCCTCTCCTTCTTTGTCCTTAGCCTTGCCCTGAGAATGCCGCTGCAGAGGCCTGAGCACTTGTCGCCTTGCTTCCCCGGGGTAGCAGGCAAAAGCACATTCTCAGCAGTCCTGGGGAGGGTGGGGCAGTGACCAGGTTGAAGGTAAAATTGTTGAGGGAACCATATTCCAACCACCTGGACTCTCCCAGGTGGGTGGGGTGGGGAACCCAGATAACTGGAGGAGGCTTGACACCCTCACGGAAAGCCGGGGAGGAGGCCGCCTTCTGACTCACGGCTTCCTGGTCCTCCCGGGTCCTCCCAGCACCTCAGCAGCTGGGCGTGGTTCCGGGAGAAGGGGAGCCTGGAGACTCACTCTAGCAGAAGTGCCAGAGCCTGGACCTGGAAGCCAGGTGCTCAGAGGAATGCAGTCAGTGTGAGCGCCCTCCCGCCCTCCCCTGCACCGCCTTGGTTCTCTGGTATTTGGTACTTCTTCCTGGAATGGGCTTATCAGTTGCAACTTTAAGAGCACCTGAGGGTTCTTACCTCTGAGACACAAGGAGGGCAGCCCTGGTGGCAGCCACAAGTGTTGGGCAGTGAGAACAGTGCCCGCCTGGGAGAGAGAAGGAACTGCACGCAGGTCATGATGTTGGAGCCCTTCTCTCTGCTCCGTGGGAGGGGCCATCATGGTGTTTTACTCCCCCGATGACCAGTCTTAGAAGAAATCACAATCCTTCCTCACGCAGGAACCTTTACCTGCCTGGACGCCTCCCTCTCCAAGTTGGCCAAATCCTAACCACGCTGCCCCTCGCAGCCCATCTCAAAGGCTACCTACTTCCTGCTGTGTCCCTTTCTTTGAGTCCTCCAACTGGAATATGTGCACATTCCTTGGATGGCACAAAGCCCTTTGTTAAAACTTCTCTCTCTGTGGCATTGGGCATACTCTGACCAGTCATTTGTGTCTTTGTCTGTACACACACACACGCACACACACACACACGCACATGTGCACACGTGTCACTCACTAGACTGTGAACTCCTTGGCTTGGCTTCCTGTCCAGAGGTGCTCACTAAATGGAAGAGCAATGAGTGGTGAGGATGTCATTTTGAACTGGAGAGAACACCATACTGGGAGTCAGAAAACCCAAGTCCCGGACTTGGCTCTGCAGTTAATTCCTGGTGTGATCCTCAGCCAGCCATACTCCAATCCTGTGCCTCCGTACGGGCGGAGTGGCTCGATGCGCTAGGCCTGGCTGACTGTGACACCTTTCTAGATCTAGGGTTCCAGAGTTCTAGAACCCTGCTCACCCTTCTCCGTCTTCTTGACTCAGACTGGCCTGCGTGTGCCTTCCATGAGCAGAGACGTCCCAGAGGCGCCCCTCACAGGTGGAGATCTGGTGCCCCAAGGCCGCACTCGCCGCTGCCTGTCTGCGGTTGAATCCAGAGAGCAGCTGGAGGAAGAGGAGGAGGAGGAGGAGAGGAAAAAGAAGGAGAGAGATGGCTTCCACGCTGTACCGCTCCGAAGATCGGGGGCTTTCCGTGCCCATAACCACAGCTATGACCCCTTCAAAAGACACAGTTGGGGGCCAGACAGGGAGCCCCAGGATCAACTGAGCAGGTAAATCCCCAGGGGCCTCCTGTCCCTACTTCCCTTGAGTCCGAGACCTGGTTCAAAAGGAATGACTCTCTCGTTACCTCTCTGGGGGCTTAGAACCCAGGCCTATGTGAGCCCTTGGGAAAGGGGGACCCTGCCTTTCAAGATGTGGCTTTCCCTGGTGTTTCTAGATCAGCGGTTCTCAACCTGTGGGTTGCGACCCCTTTGGAGGTCAAACGACCCTTTCACGGGGGTCGCCTAAGACCATCGGAAAACACAGATGTAATTACATGTTGTTTTTGTGATTAATCACTATGCTTTAATTATGTTCACTTTGTAACAATGAAATTGGGGGTCATCACAACATGAGGAACTGTATTAAAGCGTCTCGGCATTAGGAAGGTTGAGAACCCCTGATCTAGATCCTTCTTCCTCCCTGGTCTCAAGGGCACGTCGGGGAGGGAATAGAGAAGGGGAGGTACAGGGCTGGGGTATCAGGACACTTGGGTCTTGTAGCTTCCATCTCCCACTTTGGGTTGAAAAGAACCGTACGACGGTTCAGTGCTGGAAGGGACTCCAGGGTCATATGGTCCCGTTTCCTCATTTTACAGATGAGGAAACAGGCCCAGGGAACTGTGGGAGGTTTATTGAGAGAAGTGGTTGGTTCTAGGGTTGGGGCCTTGAGCCAGCCCCTTTCCCAAATGGCTGCCTCCTTGCTGGTTCCGGGCTGAGGCAGACTCAAGGTGTCTTGGACCTGATAGTGCAGTCCTGCCATGAGAGACGAGTGGCTCTCGCTCAGAGGTCTGCGTATGCCTGGCAGACCAGAAGAGAGGGACCCATCTCTCCCCCCACACCCCACCCTCCTGGAAAAATCCCTGACCACTTCCCCCAAAACAGAGGAAGTCAGAAAGCGAAGGCCCCGGGGTCAGCATGAAGAGTTCAGTGTGAGTGGTCACTGTGAGCGCCTGCTAGCGATGGAAGGGCCCTGTCTCTCTGCGTTGGCACTGGTACCCTGGCACAGGTTCTCTTAGCTCTGGTGAGTAGACCAACCTCTTCTGGCTCTTGGTCAGGGCTGGCTGAGCAAATGAGGGGAGAAGACCCTGCGCCTTGGGCCAGAACTTGAGCGAAAAGCCTTGCCTGCCGGGCTCGTGGCACTTGCCTAAGAGCAGCCCGCTGAAGGCGGCGACGCCGTGGGTAGCCCTTACGTGGTGCTAACGGTACCTCAGGCCTTCCGGGTGTCTCCTTTTGCAATCAGGCATTAATTCTGCTCCCGGGGCAGAGAGAGAAGGGACCTCTGGATGCATCATCTAGATGAGCAGGGACAAACGTTGTCTTTAGAAAGCAGGCAGGGAGCGAGAGTCCAGCTTGCTCCTTGCCTCCCTCCGGGCACTGGCTTTCTTCTGGAGGGCAGTTCTGTGGCATGTCCACCAGGGGTCACCCTTGCCTGCAGCCAGCTCTGCAGCTCCTCCAAAGTACAGCTCCAGAGAGAGGGAGGCCAGTTTGAGTCAGGGCTGTGCCTGTGCCAACAGGAAGGGCTGGGCTGGGGGCAAGCAACAGGGCTGGGCTGAGGCCGTTTTCCTCTCTTGTGCCCATCACTGGCCATTGGGTACAGAGGGCAGTGGTGGCCATGTGTGTTTCAGGAGCAAACTGCAGGCTTCGGGATGCGCTGGGGCCCAGGAGACTGCCTTACTGCAGAGCCAAGAGGACCTGGGCACGTTTCTGGAACCGCAGCACCAAGGTGGCCAGCCTTCCAGTGTGGTATGGACAGACACCTTCCCAGGGAGCCCCTCCCCCTCCTGTCCCTGGCCTTTCCAGCCATGGCTCTGTGCCTCTTCTGTTCTGCCAGCTGCCGGGTCTCCCTGTGCCCGGGCATCGCTCCCTCTGGCTGACTCTGAGTCTCTTGTCTGTACCCCTCTGTCTGCTCCCTGAGTCTGCACGCAGAGCACCCCACTCTTGGTCGCCTGCCTCTGTCTCTCTGCTCTGAGACTCTCTGTTCCTTCCTTGCTGGGTCTGGGTCTCCGTGTCGACGTAGGAATCTCTATTCCTCTCTCATTAAAAGGCCCCTGTTCCCCTCATTGTCAGAACCGCTTCTCCGATTTGAAGCTGGATTTATCACTTGTGGGAGGAGACTAGGTCTCTGGCACCCTGAGAGACAAGAGTTCTCCCGCAAGATAATCAGAAGATGATTAAATGAGAAATACAGAGATTGCCCAGTCTTCTGGCTTAAGGGAACACAACTCGGGGATCTCAAACCAGGACCCACAGACCACCGGGGTACACCAGGGCTGCAGAGGCCCCACTTGGTCAGCCAGCTACGCGTGCCTCACAGAAATGTCTCAAGCCCGGGGACGAAGAGGCTGCCTCCCTCCCAGCTCTTCCTCCAGCTGGCCAAGGAGCCCAACCCCAGCCTCCTCCTCCGGTGCCTGTGGTGTGGGAGAGGCTGCAAGAAGGGAGCTGTGGCGTGTTACAGGGGAGCAGCAGGCCCCAGCTCCCCCCTCGCCCACGTTTCTCCAGCAGCACCCTGCATGTCTTCCCTGCCTCCGTGTCAATGTGGTAACGTAGAAAGAACAGGTTTCCGAACCAAACGGACTCCTAGATCCTTCATGTACCAGCTGAACACTTTATTTCATCTTCCTGAAAATCAGGATCATAACAACGACCTTTTAAAGGTGTGATTCTTAGATGACAAAAAGTTGTCAAAGTGCCCGGCACAGGGGCTGGCGTACAGGATGAGCGTGAGAAATGACCGTTTCTTTTCCTTCTTCTCTGCTCCGTTCCTTCAGACTGCTTTCCCTCTCTCCCGCCTGGCTCTGCTCCTGCCCTCTTCGCCCCTTGTTGGTACGGTATGTCTTCTTCTTTCCCCACTGGACACAGAGGGCAGTGGGGGCAATGTTTTTCTAGTGTTTTTCTCCGCCTTCCTGCTCTGATTCCCCTTCTCTCTCCATCTAATCTTTAAGCCATCCCCTTATATTTCTCCTTCCCCATATGTTTGGGGTCTTTTTGTTTCTTCCTGCAACGGCGAGTGAGTATAAGTTCTTCTCCAAAGTCCACAGACCAAAAGTCTGAGACTCCTTAAGCTAGACTGGGGCTTGCAGACTGAGGGCCCATGAGCCAGGCCTAGCTCCAAGTTTTATTTTGTTTGGCCAGCAGGGTGCGTCCACTTTTAAAAATTCAGACATCCTTAAATGGGACCTGTGCTCTCCAGTTAGCCAGAGTTGCTAATACTCTCTCTTGTATTTTTTCATTTATCTTTTGTTTTAAATTATTTTTTTAAATATATTTTTATTGATTTCAAAGAGGAAGAGAGAGAGAGAAACATCAATGATGAGAGAGAATCATTGATCAGCTGCCTCCTGCACATCCCACACAGGGGATTGAGCCTGCAACCCGGGCATGTGCCCTGACGGGGAATTGGACCGTAGCCTCCTAGTTCATAGGTCGACACTCAACCACTGAGCTACACTGGCTGGGTCATTTGTCTTTTAAATATAATATTTAAAAATGAATGCCCAATAAATCAACCACCCATCTCAAGAGCCAGAACATCACCAATACATTTATCTTTACTTATGTCTTCCTCTCTTATTCCCTTGGCTCCCATAGAGGCAACCACTATCTTGATTTTTTTCTTTATCATTCATTTAATTTTTAAAATAGTTTTAACACAAATATATGCATCCCCTAATATTACATTATTTTTTCTTGCTTCTCAATTTAAAAACAATGATGTTATAGTATACACATTGTTCTATAATTTTCATTCAACATTCTGTTTCTGATTTTTATCCCTGTGTTGCAAAAAGTTACAGTTCATTCGTTTTCATTTCATTCTTCTGTTGATGGACGTTTGGATAATTTCCATTCTTTGCCATTATGAAGCACATTACTATGAAATCATCATCATCATGAAAGAATGAAATGCTTGCCATCATAGTGGATTCTTAAGCTCGTGCTCCACGTATGCGGCGTGCTAGCTGGCTGTTTGGGCATAATGGTTACACGTTTGGCGTGGATAGCACACAGACTGGTGTCTTCAGGAAGGCCAACCACATAGGCCTCACTTGCCTCCTGCAAAGCACCAATAGCTGCGCTCTGGGAGCGCGGATGTTTGAAGTCCTGAGCAATTCCTCGCCTCAGAGGCGGGACAGGACGTTTGCAGATCAGAAGTTCAGTGGCCTTCCAATAACGTCTAATATTTAAGGAAGTGCCGCAGAACCGGGCCTGTGACCACGAGGTCTCTTCGCCCCTCCAGGAGAGGGCGCACCCTTTGGAGTGGCTTTGGTAGCCAGTTGCTTTTCTACGGACGGGCAATTTGTGGGCAGTCTACTTTGTAGGAGCCTTGCTATAGAGACGGCTTTACTTACCCCCTTCTCGTTGGGATGGAACGCTGTGTGTTAGATGCTGCACTGATGCTAGAGAGCAAGGGCTGCAAATACCAGCTTGTCTTTTTCTTACTGATTTGTAAAAGTCCTTCATATATTCTGGATTTGAGTCTTTTGTCAGATATGTGTATTGTGAATATTTTCTCCCAGTGTGCATTTTTACTTTTAAAAAATATTTTTATTGATTTCAGAGAGGAAGGGAGAAGGAGAGAGAGAAACATCAATGATGCGAGAGAATCATTGATCGACTGCCTCTTGCACATCCCACACTGGGGATCAAACCTGCAACTGGGGCATGTGCCCTGACCAGGAATTGAACCATGACCTCCTGGTTTATAGGTCGACGCTCAACCACTGAGCCACACTGGCCGGGCTATCAAAGATTCTTTATCCAATCTACTGGAAAGGGATTTCTGGGTTATTTCCTATGATTTCAATGACAGACTATTTGAAATTATTAAAATTTGCCTTATGGTCTGATATTTGGTCAGTTTTGTGATGCCCCAAGTAGGCTTGGGATAAAGGTATTTTCTAATGGTTGGGTATGTGGCTTATAAATATTTTTATTCCTTATTGTCTTAAACCCAGATGACCTCAGTTTTTCTCATTACATGTCTGGCTTCCATAGGTTGAGTTTGTCAAATCTGGAAACCATTCAGGGTAAATCTTTTCTAAGACGTTTTCTCTATTAAGGAAGCCTGGGCTTGAGTTGCACAGTGCTGACTAGTAACTAGCAGAACTTCCCAGTTATTTCAATGGAATATCCCAGATATGGATTGTGATGGGGGAGGGGGTGAAAGGCTTGAGGCCCTGAAGATGGGCCATGTTGTGCGGGGAAAGTGAAAAATGGGGAGTAGGGGAGATGGATGAAGCCTAACATTTATGTGAGGATTCTTGACGTGATTCTAGGGTCAGGGTTCCTGTCCTCCATCTGCTGGCCCTTTGGACCACTCAGCCACTGGCATGCTTTCCAAGTCTGTATCCATGAGTGGCATCAATTGCTTCTGGAGTGGCTCAGATCCAGCCGGTGAGTCAAAGTGGGGAGCAAAGCAGTGGTAGCTCCCCCTGTCTGTCTCACCACCACTCCTCAGGGTGAGCTATTTAGGGTTCAGATAGATCCGGGGTTATATCTAACTCTAATTCGGAAACCCCAAAATGCCTTTATTGCAATGAGAGATTTGAATTCAGGACTCTGGCATCCTGACACTCTCCTTACAGTGAAGGAGAACACAGGACACCCGAGGCTCTCCAGCCTCCCTTATCGCCAGAGATGGAGGACAGTTAACTGCAATGCACCTTGTCCTCAAGATGAGGCACTGGGAGCTCACTGCGAAACCGCTGTCCTCTCCATTCACCAGAAGCATGACGGAGACATGGGGTCCTTGGCCCCCTTCTCCACATAACCCTGGCTCCCAAGTTCTTTAGCTCTGCCCAGACCCCGCCCTCCCGCCCTGCTCCCCAGAGCTCGCCCTCGGGAATGGCGTCACATGCACCTGCAGCTGGGGAACCTGATCCAGGTGGAGGGGGTGGGGGAGGCCGCCCTGGACGCCTTTGTCTGGCTTCAGCTGGACACTTCTCGTCTCCTTTTGTGTTGGCAGGAAATTTATCCCAGTCCTCGGCTGCTAACTTCAGCCAAAGGTAAGTTTGGGGAGATCTGGAGTCCTTCAAAGGCCTAGATGGGGGAGGGGCAGCGCTTCCTAAACATTGCTCCCCTTAACATTTCTGATCCAAGACCTCCAAATGCCTTCCTCCCTGAGCTGCATAGAACGGACCCAGGGAAGGCTCCGGAAGGTTCTGGTAGCCCATGGGATGGGGAAGAAATTAAAGAAAGAAAAGGAGTATCCAGACGATAGGGTGTCCGTTAAATGAAAGAGAGAGTTGCTAGTTGCCAGTGCCAGAAAGGTGAGCAGGCAGACGGGCTGTTGGACAGTCTTAGGGAGAGACAGTGAGGGAGAACCACGAATGAATCAGCTTTGATGGCTCCGGTAACTGACCAATGGGCAGTGGCTCTAAGGAGAACCCCCAGGGGAGCGGGCAGAGGCGGAAGGCATAGTTCAGGAATCCGGGCGAAGGCTGGGAGGGTTCATGGGCTCTGTCAGTAAGCATGCAAAATCAGCACCTGTTCGTCTGGCTCCTGCCGCTGAAGCACGATTGGAGTGGGCCAGCCCTCTAAGACAGCGCGGGTGTGAGAGCTAGTCACGGGCCCTTTAAGATGTCAGGCTCTGATTTGCGGTCCCAGAATCTCTAGCTGACACATCCTCCTGGCTCTGGCTTTGGGATTAGCTCATGGGATGGGGCTGATGAAATCCCAGGAAATTCAGTCCTTATTGGTTTTAGGCCCAGAGGCCCTTTCCCAACCGCGGAGGGGGTCCTACACAGGGCTCTTGTTTTAGGAGGGGACAATGCCGCCCCAGAGAGCTCCCCCCCCATGTGGCTTCCTCTGGGAGCAGCATGAGAGAGAAGATTGGGCCTGGATGAAGTAGAGGAGGGGGGTGGGGGGATGGGGGGGGTGTCTGCATTTATCTGGGAGGAGCCTGGAGTTTTCCTCATAAATAGAGGGGCCTGGAAAACTAGCCCTTCACACCCAGGAAGTCCTAGGAGGTGGGGGTGGGGAGCGACTTTCTCTCTGAGTCCTTCCTTTATCTTCCTCGCCCTTTTTCTGCGTCTTTCCCCTCGAATCTCCACTTTCTTTCTCCTTATCATGGCACCTCCATCTGCCATCTCTCTGGGAGTATCTTTTCACCTCTGCCTTCTCTTTCTGCAGCTGTAGCCAACTGGAACGCGGTTCGGATACCTGGGTAGGCTCCTCCCTGCGACGAACCTTCAGCTTCCTCTGGGGCATGACCGGCAAGGCCAAGGTAGGCATCAGCTGGGGAAGTAGGTGGCCTGGGACCCGCTGCCTCTCCAGCTCCTTTCCTCCCCACCCCTGGGAGACAGAGACTCGGGGCCATGTTCAAGTTTTAAGGGAACACATGCTGCCTCTCCCAGCCTTGCTTCTGCAGTCCAGGAAACCGCCTTCCCTCTGTTTTCCCCGTGCCTGCAGTTTAGCAGCCAGCTGTGGACAGCTGGACGAGACAGCCAAGAGCCTCAGCAGCTGCAGGGTGGACTAGCCCTCCTTTCCTTTAGGCCTCACATAGCTAAGAGGTGGGCAGCAGAAATCATAACCATGGGGCATAATAATAATTGTTAACAGCAACACTGTTCTGCATTTTTTAAAATATATTTTTATTGATTTCAGAGAGGAAGGGAGAGGGAGAGAGATAGAAACATCAAGGATGAGAGAGAATCATTGATTGGCTGCCTCCTGCACCCCCCCGACGGGGGATCGAGTCCCCAATCTGGGCATGTGCCCTTGACCAGAATCGAACCCAAGACCCTTCAGTCTGCAGGCTGATGCTCTATCCACTGAGCCAATCCAGCTAGGGCTACTCTTTACTTCTTCATAGAGTATTAGCATTATGAAATGTTTTAAAATTCATAATTTTATAGGTGGATACGGCAGCAGCAGGAGTTGAAGTTAGACTATAGGCCAGGGGTCCTCAAACTACGGCCCGCCCCCCCGGTTAAAAAGTTTGAGGACCCTGCCATAGGCAAAGAGGCAGCCAGGAAGGGAGATGATTAGGGAAGCACGTGCACCTTGTCCGTGGAAGGCATGTGCAGTTCTAACCCTGGGCAGGTGCAGGCACTTTGCTCTCTTTCTTTTCTTTTCTTTTTTAAAATATATTTTATTGATTTCTTACAGAGAGGAAGGGAGAGGGATAAAGAGCCAGAAACATCAATGAGAGAGAAACATCGATCAGCTGCCTCCTGCACACCCCCTACTGGGGATGTGCCCGCAACCAAGGTACATGCCCTTGACCGGAATCGAACCCGAGACCCTTGAGTCTGCAGGCCGACGCTCTATCCACTGAGCCAAACCAGTTAGGGCTGCTCTCTTTCTTATTACCAACCTCTGGGCTCTGGTGACGCTGGGAGCTCTGCCTGCTATTCGAATTTGTATCCACTTTCTTCATTTTCTGAGCCATTCCCCCCCTTTTCTTCTGGGGGCCTCCCCAATTATACATGTACTTTCCACCTCAAGGTGGCTCCTGAGCATTGAGAGACGCCCAGAGCAGCCATCATCTATCCACTTGGAAGAATCACAGGAGTCTCCCCTAGGAAGGTTGTCCAGGCTCCTTCTGGCCCCACCCGCAGAGCCAGGGCTCTCTCTGCCTGCCTTTTAGCCAAGATTCCCCGTCCTCTGGGCGCACAGGGAAGGCAGAGACAAAGCCAGGTGGTTAGCACCTTCTCACTATGGCCAAAGTGGGGAGTTGAGGCTTGAGACCAATCATCTGAGAAGAGGAGGAGCAGGGGGGCGGGGAGGGGATCCTAAAGCTGGGGGGAGGGGAGGGGGCAGGGCAGTGAGGCCTGTCCTCTCCGTGGTGGGGGCAGAGCTCTTTAAAGAACAAAGCTAACATGCGGCCTTGGGTCTGAGTCTCACCTTCCCACAGGCGCTCCGGCTCAGTTCAGGGCTTTAGCGTCGCTGGCAGAACCACCCTCTTGCCTGCAGTTGTTTGCCCACTCTTGACCTAACAGTTTGGTGCCGGGTTGAGTAACCCGGTGAAGGGGAGTGTGGGCAGAGGCTTTGGAGTCCAGACAGGCAGCAGGAAAGCACAGAGTCAAGACATTGTCCCACGTGGCCTTTCCTCACGTGGCCTCTGGTCCTGTGGCCCTGTTTCCCGCTCTGTCCTCTGGTCCATCTTCCTTCCACCCTCATGAATGTGCGTGTCTTTCACCGAATCTCTTCTCCCCCTTCCTCCCAGCTCAGGATAAGGGGCTGTGAGGAGGTAAACACCAGGGGTGGGGCTGGAGAGCCGCTCAGTCGAGCAGTGAGAGAAGGAAGTGGCTTATTCCTTCCTATTTGACCAGCATTGTAGGGCTGACAAAACGCTTTTCCAGAGGTCATCTTACTTAATTCTTATAACATCCTGCGAAAGATAAATATTTTAATCTCCATTTCTCAGGCAAGACAATTTAGAGCCTAAATTGCCTCTGCTTGTCAGTAAAGCTAACATAACAGTTTATCCCCTTTCTTCCCTTCTTCTACCATCTTCTGATGGATGGCCACTGGAGTCAGTTAGGTCTTAATCATCCTTCCCAGAATGCACAAGGTCCAGAGTAATAATAAGAAAAGCAAGCTTCCTCCTGGGCACTGCATTGCTTGGGCCCAGGGATCCCTAGGGCTCCATCTGGTCACTTACTGGCCATGACTCGGACTCTAACAACCAGCTTCTTGTCTAGATGGTCTCCCTACCCATGAAATGTGGAGGACACACCTGTTCAGTTAAATGAGCTAAAGAAGGTAGTGGCCACTTTTATGTATTTATTTGTAAAATATTTGTTATTGGTTTCAGAGATGAAGGGAGAGGAGGAGGAGGAGAGAGCTAGAAACATCAATGATGAGAGAAAATCATTGATCGCTGCCTCCCCCGCACCCCACACTGAGGATCAAGCCTGCAGCCCGGGCACGTGCCCTGACCGGGAATGGAACGTGACCTCCTGGTTCATAGGCTGATGCTCAGCCACTGAGCCATGCCGACTGGGCTAAATTTAGTACATTCTTCAGCCTTGGCTGCCCACTGGGGTGGGGGTAAGTCAATCCGGGGTTCTGAGCCTGGGAGCCTCTGGACTACTGGTTTGGGGGAGTTCCTAGGGCCTTTCAGGAGGTTGCCCCTGCAGGTGCACTCCTGGAGGAATCAGCTTCTCTCCTGGCTCTGGAGAAGTCCTTTCTGCTTTCTCTTCAGTCTAGAACAGGCATGGTTCCTTCTTCTCCTTTTTCCTGGTCTTTGCTATATAAGGATCCTGACAGGGGAATGGGTGAAGAAGGAGGTGAAGGAGTTGCTAGGCAGGAGGGGAAGCCAGAGGAGCACTGTGGGGGTGGTGCTGTGGGTGAGGAGCCCAACCAGCTCAGCCAGTGGTGAGGCGGTGGAGCCCGAAATAGTGGCAGAAGCTAAAATTGGCACCTACAAGAGTGCTGAGTTGGACTTGAGACCTGCAGCCTGCCCTCCTGCCCAGCGAGCAGGTCCTGGGAGCCGCTCAGCCTGGGCTGGCTCAGTCTGCCACTATTTCGGGCTTCCTCCCTCCTTCCCCCACACCTTTTGGGACTAGAACTGGTCGGGCCTCTGCAAACAGGGGATGCTCTGTCTCAGGGCATCCCATGCTTCTGGTTTCTCCAGAGGTGGGAGACCCTGGGAGGCAGAAATGAGCTGCACCGTGAGTGGGTGTAGCTAGCGCCTGGAGGAGGAACTTTCCCAGTAGCAGGAAGCTCACCAAAGGTGGAGGGTGCCTCCAGGGCTGGCGCCCCATCCCCCTTCTCGTGGAGAGACGGGCCTTACCCCAGCTGCCCCTGACTGGCACAGGCTGGTTTCTGGTCTCTTGGGTCTGGCCTCACTTGCAACAGTGAGAAGTAGACACCAGAAAGGACTGCCTTAGCTTCTTAGCGTTCAGGTAGTGAATTCCTCTCCACCCTCAAGTGTTTGGCAGGGGCGGAGGCAGGAGGGGAGGTGAATGGACCGAGTGCGGTCAGGAAGGCCTCAGAGGGGTGGAGCTTGCAGAAGAATTCTCCGTGCTCCCCTCTGTCCTCCGGGGGTTGAATCGTCTCCTTCACGCCTTCCAAACACTCAGCCTCCAGTTCCTCTCGACTTCCCCGCCCTCTCTCCACCCCGACCCCCAATTGTCAGGGGAGCCTGTCGTCTCTGGCCTGTTTGCTTTGAAGGGCCGAGGGCCCGGAAGGAGCTGGTGGCCGGGTCCCTGGGGACCTGGGGGCGCTGGAACCCTCCGGCCTGCGGGTCTCTGAGTCCTGCAGCGGGAGGATGGAGGGCGGAGGATCTGGGCTGGGACTGGGCAGGGCTGGGCAGGGCTGGGCAGGGCTGGCTTTTTGGAAGACGAGAGCTCAGAGGCCGCACCCTGGGGCTCGAGGCCGCTCCAGGCGCTGGAGGGGACCCTCCACTTGTCGGT